TGGCAGGGGCGGTACGCAAGGCCCCTTGCCTTTTTTTTTTTTTTTTTTTTTTTTTTTTTTTTTTTTTTTTTTTTTTTTTTTTTTTTTTTTTTTTTTTTTTTTTTTTTTTTTTTTGGGATTTCTGAGCGAGAAATACGGCTGCAATGCGGGAGTTTTGAGCGGTGAAATTATGCCTGTGCTGGCTTGTCGACCGACGTTCGGATGGGCTGGGTGGCTGACTTTCTGGGCATCGAGAGTCAAAAGCGGATGTTGGTGTGCACGACATATTGATGGTAGGATCCAGCTCTGCCACCAGCTTTGCCAGCCCCTGATGAAACTCAAAAACAAGGCCGATTTAATCGTCATCTATCTGTATTGATTGTCGCGCACCAGGAGGAAAACGGGCTCATACTGACTCTCTCGCCATGTCAGTCAGGGCGGGGAGGGTTCATGTTGAGGCTGCAGTTGAAGTCTTCAAGCTTTCGGGCCGCCGCGCCTATTGCCCCGTCTTGCCATCCGTCTCTCTTCAGGTGCGGATGGATTAAAATAGCCCTTGTGACTGGGTCGTGTCCCCATTCAAAAGTCAGCCACAAACCCCAGCTCCGCCCAGCTGATGATGATCGTTGTGGGTTCTTGATGATTGTCACTGCCCATCCCTTTGGCTGTGCTAAGGTGCCAGTCAGGTATCGGCCCCATTTTTTCTGCGATACCTAACGGGTACCTTTTTAGCGTCAAAAAGGCCCCATACGCTAGGTTCGGCTGTAATATGTGCGATGTAGCTCTTTGTAACTCACAGCATTACTAGTACTTCTATCATCTTATTATTTCTTAGCGGGGTTAAGTATCTTTAAATGTAGGGTTTTTAATTGGCTAAAACCAGAATTCGATACCTGACTGGCACCTTAGCACAGCCAAAGGGATGAAGCCACCGGCACTGGGGATTCCCTGGAATGGGGATAGCGGAGTACATGGGATACTCTGTCTTTGTAAATGAGTGGGTGCGTGGACAGTGTTTTCTGCCGCCCGCGTGCCCGGTCATCGCAACGTAGTAGTAGGTCGTGGGAAGTAATTTCGTCGGATGTAGACCTCGGCCACTGTGACCACAATCTTTACCTGCTAGTACGACAAACGCGTAGTCAACAGAACAGCTAGCCATCTCCTTTGGTCAGATTGGGGGTTCAGACCTGATTCTCAGTGTAAAGTGTCCCTCCAAAAACCTGCGCCCCCAGTAATTCTGTTTCTCTCCTCCAGGACAGGAATAATATGAACAATCACCGGCCTGAGCAGAGCAAATACCCTTTGGAAATATCGGGTCGCAGCTTGTAGGCGAATGCGGGCGCTCAAGAACAGTCAGTTACGACATGGGCACACCGTGATAATTCAGAATACCAGTCCTCAAACAACGTATTTCAACACGTGGACAACTCTAACCGTGGTCTCCGCAACAAAGAGTTGCTCAAGCAGAAATACTACCATCCAAATCCCGGCGATTCAAATACTTGTCGCTATACCTCAATCCTCCGCCACGCCACCACGGTTGTCAGAAATACCAACGACATCTCATACCTTGAGGCCGGCAGATCTTTTTCCGATTTCCTCCGTTTTTCGAAACATCCGCCTCCTCTTGGCTCTTTATCTCGAGTCTCTTGGCTTCCGCCCGCTCTCCTATACGGTTGATTGATGTTGTTGCTTCGACCTCATGTTCATTCAGCTCACCCAAGCAGTCGAGCATTCTGATCTGCCAGATCTCAAACATCTTGGCCCGTCCGTCATCCGCAATCAACGTCAGAAAATACACACCGTGTTGGAGGAAAGTTTCCATCTTAGAAGCAGTAAGATGATGCCGGCGAACTGCCGAGTGCCGCAAATCCGAGAATTAAAACCTATTCTCTCAACATTCAAAATGGCCGTAGCTACAGATAAAAGCTGGATCTTAACCACATCACCTACATATCGACCTACCGGAGCCCTTCGACTTGGCCAAGTCCTCACGGACCCCCGCCAACCCGCGAGCTCGCTCTTCGCAACAGAATCGAGCTACGTCCAGATTCCCGATAATTATATCCTCGAAGATGGCGAGCTCAGAGGGGTATCGCTAGAATGGACTCCAAGCCCGTCTCTTCATCCCGGGAGTGGGCGAAAGTACACGGCGCCTCAATATCTGCTAATCTGCACGCTGAAAGTAGCAAAGAAAGCAGGAGACAATGGACAATCGAAACGCTCGAGTACCGGCACTTCATCCGCGAGCTAGAGTATATTCGCAATGTCCTCAAGGCTGGGGACGTCCCCGAAGTGACCCAGTGGTGGAGGTTGGGAAAGAGAATCTATCTAGTACCATGTGAGGATGTGATGAGCCCGATGGTGCGACGTGGCGCATCAATACCCCAGATGTTGAGTGGGAGTCTCGTCTGTGGGCAGATGAGGGCTATAATACCAATCAGTCGATCATGTAGTCAAAGCAACGAATGAAGCTCACCGAAACATGGAGCCCCAACCATGGACTCGTTCCCGGAAACCGGCATTGAAGCAGTATAATAGTATCATGACACCACTGCTGACAACACCAGCAACACTGACAACCAGACCGATTTGCCACGGTTCGAGCGAAGTTGCACCGCCATCATGCTTGATGTTTGTGCTATTCCGTGAATCCACTGAAGAAGTAGGAGTAGAATCCTGCACAGTGATGGTTATTTTGTCCTTGTTGCAATCTCCCGGAGGATCTACGCAGGGGATGTCTGTCTGGCCACCTGAGCCGATGCGTTTAATCTCGGGTTTGTTGAGAGCGATTGAAGTGGGAAAGTCGTTGCACTTGAGCTCCCAGTAACTTGCCATGTCGTGGAGACTGTTGCGGCCGCCGCAGTACCTATAGATGCCCTTGGCTGTGCTCAGTATGAAAGCAGTGCTCTCGCAGAGACACTTGAACTCCAACTGGTTTGAAGTAAATCTGCTGCCCCCGGTGCTGTTAGGGAGACATGAAGGCGGCAGGTAGTTGTTAATCTCGGCTGGACAGGTCGCATTGTCTCTCCATTCAACATTTAGCGGGCTTGATTTTGTCCAGCTGCCTGGGTCTGGGCAGTTGAGGAGGCGGGTGAAGGTAGAGACGGAAATTGAATGTGTTATTATGAGGACAAGGAATCGGGGGCTTCTGGCGAACTGCACGTCCCCGAAGCATGGCATCTTGCATGACTAGACTGCCTTGAAAGAAGAGAACAAAACATATTGGCTTCACGTTTGAGCAGAGGAGGTGCCGTGGTAGTTGGTGCAGCAAAAAGAGGAGCTGCCAGAACCACCGTCATGCTTGGTTCGCTAGTATTCCCACGTTCTGAATATTTTATAGAGCTCTTTTCGAGTCCTCAATGCCTTGCCATCGAGGCAACTAAACTCACCGCCTCTGTAGCATGGTGGTAGTACGTTAGCCAGCCTGGTCCTTTTTGCAACTTGTGTTATGACGGCGATACCTTGGAAGCTAACTATCAAAACGAAGCAATACGATATTTTTCAGCCCCCCTTCTTTTGGCTTCGTCCAACACTCTGTGCCAGAATACCTCCATGTCCATCATAAAAAAGGATGCGTGATCAGGGCACTGAAGAACTGACGGCTCATGTTAATAAGGTTTGGTGCATAATGCCTTTGTCCAGGGGCCAACATACCGAAAGTGAGATCCATGCTGTTTATCCCGCGCAAATGGTTATGTTCCTCCCCATGCACGTACACCGACACAGTCGAGACTTCTCGATCCTGCAGCCAAGGACACATGGCTGACTGGTGAGGCTGAGAGCCCTACGAATGAAACGCAAGCTACAAGAACCAGACGGTAGTTGGTGTGTGAATATTAAAATCTGGCCAGAAGTCACGTTCTGGCCTACCCCCAACTAGCAACGCTGTCCTTCATCAAGAGTCCTGGCCCATGACATACTGGGACCCTCAATAGTTGATTGATTCAACAAAGCACGCGTTATTTCTGTAACAAACGGCACAAGAATCCGTGGAGATATGAGTAGCTTGGCGCTGTAGTCTGCAGCCCTATGAATACGCCACTATTAAGAGCTTGTGGTTGTGTACCAGTGTAATACTCCTATGATGACGTTGGTAGCATCCTTTGATTCGTCAAAAAACCTTTCAATTTGGTCAAAAATTACAAGCGCATGCTTAAGGATAAGCTTACGCGGCTGATGTAACGGTTGATCATGCCAACATGATGGCTTTAAAAGGGAAACATAAGTTCTTGGGCGAATGCCGACATGTCAACCCAGAGATCACGTGGAAAACGACGCGATTTCTCGGGCCAACGTGAAGGTTTTTCCGAGTCGAAATTCCGACTCCTCCACCTCCCATCATCAGAATGGGCGCACCAATTCTCACCCCAGAACAGCTCCAGGAATACGGCTATCGCAAGCCGAGAATCATCGACCACACCTTGGACGATGCCCGCCTCGAGACTCGCTGTCCCCTTGACAACGGGCGGCACCACGGCCAACCAAAGTATCCGGCGGGCAGGCTTGATCTGCTCCCCACCGAACTCATCGCCAATGTTCTCTTGGCCCTGGATCTGCCGTCCCTGACTGCCTTTCGGCGCGTAAATCGACGTGCCATGAGCCTCGTTGATTCGTTGCACCAGTACCGAATGATCTTTGAACATTGTCCCGATATCCTTCGCGCCATCGTCAGCATCGATGCAAAGCACTTTGACTGCAACGACTTGTTCGAGACCCTGTGCACGACCAAATGCGCAACGTGTGACCGCTTCGGCGGCTATCTCTACCTCATCACCTGCCATCGTGTCTGCTACTTTTGCTTCAACTTGGACCCCTTGTACTTCCCCGTGTCCGCCACGCTTGCGAACAAGCACACTGGTCTCCCAAGGAACGAACTCAAACGTCTGCCCCACATCCTCGGTCTGCCAGGACGCTTCACAGAGCGCAACAATCTGGTCAGGGGCAGGATCATGCTGTTGGACCGCCAGTCCCTGCGCAACAGGACATTGGGGAGCTCCACGCGGGCATTTGACGATGGGCTCCGGCAAGTAGACCTCACGACGGGAGAACCTCGACGATACATGTCCATAATTTCTGCACCCTTCTTCACCTCATCAGGTCGTTCCGCTGATTGGGGCCTCCATTGCACCAAATGCATAGACAATAAGGAGCCAGCGACGCATTTCAGGAATAAGTACACAGAAAGTGGTTTTATGGATCACATCGCACTGTTTGGGATCAATCATGGTGGTGCACAGTGAAGAGAATATGGGCGACAGCCTCGCTGATTCTGCGTAAGTTTCCTGCCGTGACTATTTATCCCCTGTGACAAAATGACATAAAAGCACTATGCTAGCCCATATTGTGTACGTTTCAATGGAGGTGAGGCTGCTTGGACCTGAGATGTGATGGGCTTCATCAGCATAGATATTTAGTCTAGATGGCGGACTGGCTACTCTATATTATTCCAGTGATGCTGATGCCTTTATAGCTAAAGTGTTTTATATGGGCTGTCTTTGCAAAATCCAAGCGAACCTGATAATCAGCCGTTGAGGCCCTGGCATGGCCGGCTCGCACCCCAAGGAGACTGGACGGTTGATATTTCAGTATCACTTTCTTGCGCACCAGCGCTTCTAGATAATACCTTATAGGTCTCAATAGCGCCGCCCCATAAGTTTACCCCGTTGACGCCTTGGAAGCTGCAGATTGATGTGACGGGTATTAAAAACGGGCCAGTTAATTGGCTGGGCTATTCGTCACCCCCATTTTCAGCAATGGCCTTTTAACGATCCTGTCTTGCTCACATGCTGTAATCTAAATGCCCGCCTACACTCTCACTCCCTCATCAACCCTCACGATGACGCACACACGCAACAGTAACGTCCAGCTGTTGGCAACACTTGTCGATTTAATGGACGAGGAGGAGAGCGAATACCGCTTTCTGATTGACGGGAAGCACGTCAAGTATGTCACCGTGGACCCCGGAGTCTTGCCAAGAGATGATCGGGCCTTTGCTCCGATATTGCTTGCGACGCTGCCTCCCTTCCCTCCTGGTGACTGGAACGAGGGTCACATATCCAAGAATCCTCTTAATGGAGAGTTGGCCTTCTCCCGTTGTACGCGCAGCGACTTGCCTGGGGTTTCAAACACCTGGCACCACACGCGAATCGATCATTTGGAGTTCAACAAGGTCAATCGTATACGTCAGAACATCCATGTCGTTACGCATCCGCTTTTCGACCAAACTCTGCTCGTCAAATTTGCCGAATTTCCCTGGCAAAATGCCCTTCTTTGAAGCCGAAACAACAGCGTACGAATGGATTGATGGCCAGGGCATCGGTCCCAAGTTCCTCGGCCATTTGACCGAAGACGGCAGGGTCATCGGCCTCGTCTTGGAGTTCTTGGATGATACTAGGTCCGCTGAGATTGAAGACCTGACAGCCTGTCAAACTGCTTTAACCAAGCTACACTCTCTGGGTATCAAGCATGGCGACATCAACAAGTATAATTTTCTTATCCGAGAAGGTAAAGCGGTCCTTGTCGATTTTGAGGCGGCTCGAAAATGCAGTGAAGAAAAGGAGCTCCAGGCCGAGTACGAACGCCTAGAGCGCTCGCTGCGTGATGCTTCGCGTAGGGGCGCGACGTATACGTAGAAGACACAAAACTTGTCAACACCGCGGGCATGCTAAATACTCGATGAAATTGAACAGAAGGCTCAGCGTGGTTGCCGAGAGGCTGAATGAAGGTAACAGTGGGCAATATTCTGGGAGCTCTGAAAGTCTGATTGTTGGCCATATGTCCCCTGCATGTCTCCTTACTCTTCTCCCCTGAGCGGAGAGGTAAATAGACATGTTGTTTTACCCTCGCCCAAGGAATTCTTCAGTACGTCAGCAGAGTACAAGGAAGAACTGCATCGAGCGTTGTGCTCTTCTGGGTGCGAATTAAAGAAAACCCGAAAACGATGGCTGCAATTTCCTGTCTCCAAATGGTTACTTAGCCGTGGCAGCTTTTACCTCCTAGCCCCCCAGTAGTCCTTAGCTCTTGTAGGTAGTAATGACATCTCGTAATTCGGGAACTCTTCTCGGTCGTTGGCTGGAAGGTAATATAGTTGATACCTTCCTAGATTAGTGCCAAAATCCACAAATTCTGCCTGATGGGCACGTGTATGTATGAAGACGGAAGAATGAGATGGTTCCTCTTTCCATAAAATGAGCTGGGAAGACTCGCACCTGCAATGTCAAGAAGCGCCGTTGCCGTGTTAATGATGTGCGCTTTTAGTTGTGTTTACCTTGACCTCGTTTCAGCTCCCCATAATAACAGTTTTGACACGTTAACGAATAGCAAAATTGCGTTTCCAGTAATTATTGACAGCTTATACGTATCGCTTTCCATTCTATCATTCCAAAGTGGTTAGTTTTATTTTTCTTAGCCCCTATTCCCTGTCTATCCAAAGGTTTTGCCAGGCTAGTCAGGCCTTTTATGCGCAATTTCAACTATTTTAACCTGCCGCAAACACAGCAGGTAATTCCTCATCCGGCACTATAACTTCAGTCATGCTTATACTTGTCTTCTTCCTTCCGTTAATAATATACAAGTCTGATATTGGTCGCCAGATTATTTGCTTGTTACCTTTTCAGGATGCCGAGGCCGAACATTCCCATCCCCACGCCGATTCGGGAAGCACTCCTAGAGCGCTTCTCGTCAATTACTCAGCTGGTTCGGCCAGAACTCCGCCGTCAACTAATTCTCGTTGGCGGCGCTGCTAGCGTTGGCCAATGCTCGCCTTAGAAGACCGAGGACGTAGATGTTGCGGCGCCCCCTGCAGCGATCAACGAAATCTGGGAGGGAGCTTCGGCCGGCCTCCTCAACTTCTCTACAGAATGCGATGGCCATGTTGTGTTCGATGCACCGCAAGGTTTCCGCCTCCGAGTTCATATTATCGAGGTCGGTAATGGGTACATCGATCATATCTACGTAGTGGAGCCATTCTTGAATGGCTCTATCGCGTCTGTATCAGATCTGTTACTATTAAGGGCCTTTACGGTAGTTGAACGTGGTGGTGACGGTGACGTTTGGGACTTTAAATGGCTATTAGCCGAGGTGGCCACGAAGGGCAACTTCCCTGTGATTAGTACAGAGGAGTTGGAATTCCTGTGCAGAGCTGCGGAGTCTTGTTTTGGGAGATTTAGTTATTTAGTAATCGCCGCTATTTTGGGCACCAACAATGAAGTTGCCATTATGCATCTTCTAAAGTGAAGGTAGCACTAGGAAACATATATTAATTCCAACCAATGTCCTTATTCATAGCCCTTAACACATTAAAACCTCGGTATTAAGCCTCCATCAAGGTTTGTGTGCGGTATATACTTTTCAAAGGCCTTCTGTCCTTTGCAGATTATGACTCTTTGGTAGTTCAATATCCACTATCCATGGTAATTGCATAGCATCTTCGCTAAGGCCTTGAATAGCTGCGTTAACGAAAAGCGTCTGTAAACCCGGCTGCAGTGGGTTACTATCCCCTTTACAATGGCTTGTCCGACAGAATCCATTGCTGATGTACCGTTGCCTCTTCGAATTCTTGTCAGATATTCTTTCCGCAGTGTCGAATTTTCGAGGGTAGAGGGAAGAGAGTGTTTCAATAGTGGAAGACCGCTCATTGTCGATGTTTGAGAAATGCGATGGTCTTTCGCCCACGGTACCGTCTCGCCAAGTAACAAGCCTTGCGCCCCAGCCCTCGTGGATGTGGCCAAAGCAATGTAAACGCGGCCGAGACGTGGCTATTGCAGAAAATAATGCGTCGCAACCAGCGCGCTGTCTAGAGCTGGTCATGTCGAGGACTCCTCTGGGTGGCCCATGGGTAATGGCAACGTCCACCTCCTTTTCGATGTCAAAGTTGTGGGAATCTTTTGGATTGAACTGAAATCCCCAATCGCCGAGGGACGGAGTGTATGGGCTTGCGTAGACTGTCAACGAAGCACCATTTTGAAGATTGAAATGATGGACACCCTCGTCGAGAAAGACGATGCCGTTTGCACGTGCGTCGTGAAGGAGGCTCTGGGCTTCTCCAATATCACCAAACTCTTTCCTGATAAGCTCTGGTTCTATCGAGGGGTTTGCTTCAGCAAGCTTCTGCTTAAATCTGGGCGTGTCTAACGTAAAATCATGATTGCCGGCAATCACGAGCTTGAGAGGGGCGTCAATGATGTTCAAAAGCCGTAGTGATGTGCGGAACTCGGCGATTTTAGATTCCTCTGTGAGGTCTCCGCAATGTATAGCCACGTCTATAGGTGGAAGGGATGCGACCTGAGGTGTCCAGTCATCGGCGTGGGTGTCGGAGAGGATCAGAAACCTCGTCTTGATATCCATAATGCACCGGATAAGATGAGGTTCAAACCGGAGAAGAAGAGGAAGAAAGCAAAAGAATACCTGATCGATAGAATAAAGAAGCAGGGGCTGCAGTTTGCAATTCTGTTGCACCCGTAATGTGGAGAGTGGTCGATGATTTGTTGCGAGGTAAGGTCAACTGGTGTGTATACTCAACAAATTGCCTAGCAAGATGGAAGGCTCCAGAATAAAATATAACCCTTCTTGCTTAGGTAATTTTAGTTTTGACTACAATTAAAGTTCTTTTAAAAGGTTTGAACTACGTGATGTGCACAAATACTAGCTCCAAGATAGCTTCAAAGTATAGCTTTGTGGATTGCAGCTACGATTGACCTTCAACATGACTTTTATACAAAGATATAAAATACTACAACTCGCTGTGATACCAAGGTGAGAACCAATATCGGTATTCCGAGACTCAGTTTGCTCCATTAGAGCCTTGCAGCTGGGCTGCTACAGCTGCAGTCTTAAACCTTGAGCGAGCGGTCCCCAATTGGTCTTAAATGCCTTTAAACTCAATGTCAAGGCTAATGCTTTGCCGCCAATGGAGGTGGGGGATCTGCCAGTGATGTCTATCCTGGCGAAGAACGTCCTGGAAGGTGATAGTGACAGTTTGCGAACAACCATGGATCTTCTCAGCCAATGATTTGACGTGTCTAGCAGATTTCATAGTGAGTTGCTAGGAAGGACATTATGCAACTCATATCCCAGTCATATGGCACACGGCAGACGCACAACATGTTTTGTCTCCTTGTAGAAGAGCGCTACTTGCCCTTGCTGCATGGCTCATTACTCTCCGGCTACGGAAAATATGCTGCAAGTAAAAGAGGAGTGCAGGGGTTGTTCTAAGTTCTGGGCTTCAGCATTCGCGGCCTAGTGGCCAAAAATCACTGATAGATTTTTTCAAGAATCTCAAATGAGTTTTTCAACATCAAGAGAAGGAATAAAATAAACGGAGAATTGAAGAAGTTCTAAGAAAGTTAAAGAGCGCTGTATAACCTGTAGTCTTACTGTAATAGTGAAACATGGTGCAAATCACCTTTGCGGTTCGGTGTGGAAAGATCCATAGCCAGGTTAAGATACTCAACAAGCATATGCCCCGAGGCAGAGTATCACAGGACACGGGGCGAGGAATTTCCACACTTATCAAGATGATGTTAACTGTGTTTCGTCGTATTTCTAATGTCTGATCATTTTGACGGGAAGGTATTGCACCAGCAATAGAAGTTGGGCGTAAGCGTTGTATTCTTACTTTTGCTCCTCGACGGATTTTCGAACACTCAGAGAACAGTCTGGTCCACCCTCAAGCCTCCGATTCATAATCTGAAAGAGAGTATAAGGCCTTGTGCCAAGACTGAAAAAGCTAGCAAAATAAACTCTCGAACCTTTCAACTATCTGCCGCCCACCGCCACGGCACTCCACAACCACGTCCCGCAAGATCCATCCAAACGAGTGTTCACAAGACCGGCATCTAGAAGATCTGAGTGCAGTCGAGAATGTTCACATTGATGATACCACCATCCTAGAAAAAAGGTCAGTGTTTTGCATGACCACGTAGGGAATGGCCCAACACCTACGCCCTCGTTCTCGCAGCAGTAAGAATAACCCGAGCACTGCTGCCCTGGCTGCAGGGCATCGCAGAGAAGAGTAATGCCGAGGACAGCCGGGATTTCGCAGCAAGCGACATTAGCCGTATTGGTGCAGGTGTCGCTGCGTTTCTCAACCTCTACTGGAGCAGCAACGGCAACGGCGGCTAGAATAAGGACAGCAGCCATATATTTCATGATAGCGATTGGACTGTGGAGCATTAGGCTAGATATAACTTTAGTATATATCAAGATGTTGGGGACTTGGTAGATTTTCAAGTTGTTTTGTCGATAGAGTTAAACTGGTCAAATAATGGCGAGGAAGAAGGTTTATAGACTTTTTCTGAGACCCTATCGTCATTTACTTGGCAGCGTCCTCGAGACGAAAGGACGGGTCGTATTTTCTTGCCTGAACATATTCTGGTCACGAGACTCAAGGCCTGCATCAATAGTTTTCTTTTATGCAAGCCACTTGTCATGACTGTCATGGAATGCTTGATCTATTGTGAGGCTTATCTTCGTGCCACCCCTCCGTAATGGAAGTTAGGAGGCATGGTGGCAAGTCATCGGGAACAGGGGAACGAATTACGGTTACGGTGGATAGTATGATGCCTCATCTGAAGAGACATTTGCCGGCGGCTGCGTCTTTCATGAGAACGAGTAAGATTGCAATCCGGGCGCGAGCGGCTCTGGTTTTTGTGCGTCGCGGGAATGGTAGCTTGGCGGGTTTCCCTCAAATACCATCTTGGATATTTAATAATATCATAGCCCAGGTATTCTCAGGCTTCTCAAGACCCAGAAGCAGAAAGGTTCACGGCCTTGGCCGGCATGACTGACAGCAACAAGATGACCGGCGCACCCCAGAAGTGAGCTCTGAAGGGGAAGTCGGCCAATTTCCAAATCTTCTTGATAAGACGAAGTTACATCGACTAGTGAAGCGATGAGCCGGGCGACACCCAGTCGAGGCCTTGCCACAGGCTGTGATCAGCCCATATTGAGGGCTTAGCCGTCGCTTGGGATCGGCTGGGATCAGAATGGCCAATAGAGGAGAGGCGGCTTGTGAATGGCTCGACTGTTTTCAAGTTAACCGGTGGCAAGGTACAGAAGGGAATCAGGAGGAAGCGATGATGCCATACGCTCTTTCTTACATGTCTAGTCTATTCAGAATTCAACTTGCTAGCATTAGGTCGGCTAGAGCTAGCATTAGGGCGGCAAGAGCTAGCATTATGTCGGCAATATCTAGTGTTAGGTCGGCAAGAGCTAGCATTATGTCGGCAATATCTAGTGTTAGGTCGGCAAGAGCGAGAAGTGGGCCGGCAAGAGCAAGCCGATTATGCCGTCACCTGTCTGACGTGCCGGTCTGTGATGAGGCCTATGGGTAACGCAAGTGGTACTATTGCTTCTATGTCCCACCTCCTCATCCCTCATCTGCCCCCCGCTCGTTGTATCGAGGAGAATACAAGGCGATGATGGCTCGGATCCTACGTGGGGGATGCAAAAGCCGTGCATTCATCCGATCAGCATCTGAGTAGCTATTCCTGAAAGAAACCCGAAATGGGTGGTGGCACTACAGACGTCCGTCATACCCCCGCGCTGATCGGCCTTACTCTAAGCTATAGTAAGTACTATGCCTTCAGGATTCGGGCTTCCTCTGATCTAGTCATGACTTATTCTAGGCCATATTAGCCCACGGCTCAGTCTGTTCCGTTGATAGACTATTGAAAAAAGCAATTCGAAAAGTTAGTGAACATTTGATCCGACCAACCAGAACAATACCTGGATCAACAAACCTCTGAATCATGTACACATCTTCTTTAGTGGCTTGGTTTTGCTTCTTTGTTTGCCACTCGGCTATGAAATTTCACGGACTCGCCACGAATATCGTGGAACCTGACTTTTCAAATAATAACTTCTATATAGTCAACAGAACTATCGAATTGTGTGGATGAAGACTGCGCAGACAGGAGACTTCGTTGCACGAACCTGTGAACCAATTCCACAGGTCAACAGGACTAGTTGGCGGCTATTTCCAACTAGTGAATGTCAACGTAGATCTAGTCATTCCTACTCAAACCACATGTTGATATGCATAGCATACTGAGGTGACAGACACGTAGAGCATGTATAAGAAAAAGGTCAGACAATTTAGGCCATCTACGCATTGTTCAGCGTCATCTCCATATCACCAAGGCCGGTCAAACTTGGTAAGTCCGGGGTTGGAAAGGTCCATATCGTACCACGCGCGCATCTTGTGGCTCTTTTGTCACACGGTCAAGACCTGGAAAAAGGGATCAGATAACAAAGGTCACACAGCAACAAAGAAAAGCATCACGAGAGCCCGGGATTAGACCTCAGCGAGGGCCGCCTCAGGCTGCTAGGACTCATTGACTGCTTGTATATATAGAGACCTCTGGTCCGTCAAGTCCTCTCAGAAAGTCAAGAATTTTCAATACCCTAAAGTCGATTGCTAAAGATTAAATTGAACCCAATGTTCCAAGCCCAGTAATCCTGCCCTTGTCACACTCTTGCCAAGCATGCTTTCAATTACATCTCACTCTAATTTCTCTGTACAAATTGATGTTAAAGATATAATCTTATGTATTATTTGAATTGATTGTATATCCTTTTTACCGAAGCGGTATAAACTCTCCTTATTTTAACGTCCCGGAATTGGTCAACTAGGTGATGCCTTCAACAAGTTTCTTCAAGCAGCTGGCATATTCGACTTGGGCCGTTGATTTCCACTAGTATTTTACTACTATGCCAAGTCAAACTCCAGAACTAGCGAGGCAGCGCTTCGCTATGCTGACAAATGTTTCCTAACTATTCCTGGCAACCAGAAAGTTTATAGCCATGCTGACAAATGACTCGTCCGTCTATATTGCGCCACTGACGCAAAATGTTCACGAGAACCTTCACTTCAATCAACTTCGCAGCAAGTTAAAATACCAAGTACTCGAAAAGATGAAGAGTCAGGTTTTCGTAGTCGGTCCAGGCTACGTCGGTCGTGAAATCATTGACCTCCTACTGTCGGAAGGCCAATACGAAATCACAACCTTGGTTCGACGTGAAGCCGCCCTCGAGGAATTTGAGAAAGATGGTGCGGGGAAACCGCAATGCAAGCGTCTTGACATGAGTTCTAATTGAACTACAGGAGTCAAAGCGGTTCTTGGTGATCTGAATGACGCGAAAATCATCCAGCAGTTGAGCGCCAAAAGCGATGTGATTTTTCATACGGCTACCGCCGACCATCTGGAATCTGCCCAGGCAATCTTGGCCGGAATTGAGGAGCGCGCGGGTCAAGGTATGTATACCATCGACCGAGTCCTTACATAGCACTCTACCGGTAGAACCAACGTTGACATGGTGTAATGTTGTATAGGAAAGAAATCTATTTATCTCCATCAAAGCGGAGCCAGTGTTCTTAGCGATACATCACCTGGGAATAATGTCAACAATGAAATCTATTTCGACAAAACGCCTTCTCAAATTGATTCTTTGTCAGACACGGCTCCTCATCGGAAAATCGACCTTGGTATACGCATATCACTCACAAGACTTAATACCATCACCTGCTAACCCATATGTCAGCTATTTTGAAAGCCCGACAGAAGCTGGGTAATAAGGCCAGAATTTTTATTTGGATGCCTCCCATCATTTACGGCAGTAATAGCAAACACAAGCGTCTTTCAATCCAGGTATGTCATGGATTTGAGATTAGTAGGTCACCATCTGACTTGAGGATTTGTAACAGATTCCAGCCTTGACTCGATATGCCTGTAAACATGGCCAAGCCGGCTATGTCGGCTCTGGCAAAAAGGCCTGGGGTGTAGTTCATGTCCGTGATCTGGCCAAGGTAAGATCCCTAAAAAGGAATTGATGCTGAAAGCATGCGGTATCTAATCGAATTGCTCAGGCCTACGTCCAAGTCCTTCACTGGATTGAGGAGGCTGAAGATTCCGACCCTGAGCTCCAAAATCCCTACTTCTTCTGCGAAAGCGGCGAAGTCACCTGGGGTGAAGTCAGCGCTATTATCGGAAAAGGCCTATACAACGCGGGTCGAATCGCCACGCCCGAGACAAAATCTATTCCGGAGTCTGACTACGGCGACCTATTCGGTCCATTCACGCCGGATGTGGTGGGATGTAACTGCAGAAATAGGGCTGATAGGCTGCGATCCATGGGATGGAAGCCTGAGCAGTTGGGTCTTGAAGAGGCATTTGAGAAGGAGGACCTCCCGGCCTTGTTGTCTGAGAAGGGGGAGTTCAAGGCCTCTGAAATGACATTGTCTTAATGCTCTTTAAAAGTATAATTGTCTGTGTTGGAGCGACTAGTATCACAGCTGCTTTAAGGTGAAGTAGTTACTTCAGAAAAATGGGGTATGAGGGAAATGATAACGGTAACGAAAAGTATTATTGGCCTACTTTGAGGTGTCAATCTGACATAATTTGGATTTTCATCCATGACATTTGGCGCTGTTCTCTTAATATGGATCTATGAATTGGTTTTATGTTGGACAGATGGAGTGAAAGCGAATTCAAGGCCCTGTTGTAGGGGGCAGCGCGCGCAGAACATTGCGATCTAGGCTGGTTCTGGTCGATAGGGCGAAGAAGACTCCAGCTGCCATCGTCATCATCGAACGCAAGTACTTGTGGATTAGTTTCGCCCACAAAACTAGGCGTTGGAAAATGCGATTTTGCAAAATGAACGACAGAACGTATGGAATTCCAATATGTATTCGATAATAATAGGAATTTGATAACGAGTCAAGTATTAGTCACAATATCTTTTATGCTGTGAAGTCCAGTAAGTTGTTCTAAACTTCACTGAATTCGCAACGGGACAAGCCCCTTAACCAAGGGGACGCACAATATTGCCCTTCATTCATGCTATGGTTTTTGAAGAACCTGGGAAGTTCCAGTTACTATAGTATTTACTAGAGAGCGTGGTGCTGTCAGGACGGTGTAAAGTTACTGTAAAGCCCGGAATATGGCCAACGTCCCTAGCATCGCTCGCGCGTTCTTTGCACTCACCTACAGGTTTGGAAGCAACTGAGACGTATCAGATCAAGTCAAACTTCGACAAACGTTAAGGAGTAGTTCTAATTGGTTCATCTCATTAGAAACTGAGAGGAGATAACCAGCGGAAGCGTCTCCACGGAGTACTCCTGCCACTACCATTTCTCTAGCATAGGTGATACGCTGAGCTAGCTGTCATTAGGTGCTGCTTCAATACCATTTCAAAATAGTGGGAAAGGAAAATTGTATATGCCTGTTGCTGTACCTATACTATAAAAGCAACCTGATATCTACCCCTTCTTTTCCTGCTCATATGCTTGTAGGATCCTACTGACCTACAATCCAGATACAACACTCTAGAGGTTTGAGTCGCAAAAAGTAGCTGTATTATACTCTTTGTGCAGTACCTGCGCCGAATTTGCCCCCCATTACGAAAAAGTCTTTTCCTCATTCAAGACGCAAAGATCAGTTCAGAGCATACTCTTCCGTGGAACGATTTTTCATGCGAAGGCCATGCAGACTGTAAGTCTGCAGGCGTCGAATAATTGAAGTTGGAGATGATTGGTAGGACTGTTCGATCGACAGACGATCCATATCTTCACGGAGCTTTGCAAGAAACCCGGTTGCATGCCCTGGTTGAAGCCGAAGTAAAATATGGAGGCCCCCGGGATCTCTTATCCAAGTGCCATCAGCCTGTTTCATAGGATTGGCCTTCCAAACCTGAACATATTTCTCTGTTGACTCCCAATCGATGTAGCCACATTGAAGAGGAAATCCAAAGTCAACCTCGTTCAATTCAGCCCTACACCTGGTTAGAGTATTCCAACTCTGAAGGATATCTGAGTGGTAGCTGAGCTTTTTGCTTACGTAGCAAGCCAATTGATGATGATTGCATCTTTAAACCCAGAGTCTATGATCCTCTTGTTCTCGGCAAACGCTCTACTTCAAAGGTAGTTGGTGAGAATTATTGCTCGGCCGAGACGGTCCCGGTCCGCGAGAATACTCCGGCCCCTGAATAGCGTTTCAGCTAGTATTCTAAATAGCGGAGTTAGTCCAATTTTGTGTGTTCTGTCAGGCAAAGATACTCAAGTTCCCCGAAAGCTCATACCCTGGCGTTTGCTCATTTGGCGCTGTTGTAATTGGGGTTGACCACTGGACAAACGCATTACCCTGAGTGGAACGAGGAAAATACAAGTTCTGACCATTATAGGTTGCGGAGAGGCCTCTGATCTATTTCTTAGTAAGCTGGGATTGCGACGAGATAGTATACAGCACAAGGGTGGTTTCACTCGAACCGTAATGAGTTGAAATAATGTGTCGACAGGCTTCTCAAAACAGCCTTGCAGGGCTGCTATCAGGTAACCCGAGAACGCATCTCCTCGACCTACACAGGCATTCTTCAAGGGGTTCTCTTGTTTAACTAATGCCCATATCTTGTCAACGAAGCTGGGACGTCAATGTCTAAGCGAATTGTTTGCTCCTTGATAAGCTTATTTCTGTGGTCACAGAATTCTGGTTCGAAAGCAAGAGAAAGGTATGATAGCCTTGAAAGTTCTGATGTGTAGGAAGACATGGAGAGAATCTTTGGCGTCGGCAAGAAAAATTTAGAAAACGTCGGATCGCCAGGAGGAGCTTTGCCCTGGTACATTGCTGACCAAGTCCTGCCGAAGTGCCCGGCAGCAAAAGCGTCGCCTAAAGGTACTCAGCATCTAAATGAGATACCTCTACAGCGGTTGGTGCTCACCTAGGCCATGCCAAATACAGACAAAGAGAGCTGTCTGTCCTGTTTCTCTCCACGTGGTTACTTTAGCGAGGAATAAAGGAGCATCACGTTCGCTGTATGCTTTCGCGGTCGATTTCCTCGTAGTAGTCTATCAAAAGAGTCAAGACGGGATATTTTGACATCAAATCACAACCACTTACCTGGATACGTCTCCCCCATCCACTGGTCGGAAAAAAGCCCCGGGTTGTCCGTCGCTCCCACCATGAGGCGCACGGGTTTGTTTGCCAGTTTGATTGACCAAGCATTGCCAGTTGAATCTCGCGCGAGAATTCCACAATGTAGTGGGAAGAGCTGCAGTGTTTTCGCCAAGGAAGCCCGTAGGCGATCGGTATCGAAAGGACTAGGGACGGTGATGGAGTTGACTATCTTTAGGTCCTGTTGTGTCAGTCAGTCCCACGCACTGAATTGAGAAACATCGTACAAGCTCGGGATCCAGGTCGCTCCCAGGAAGGGGTATTGAAGCCCTATCTGCCAGGCTTGTAGGCTGCTCTGGGGCAACGTGGAAAACCTCGAAGCAAGACATGATGAGAGTTCAGGCGAGAACTCAAAAAGAGGCAAAACACGGGGCTGATTCCAGTGGCTTTAAATACCGAAACATTGAAATGAATGATTTAAGCGTGTACTACGTAGCTTTACTGCTTTCGTTTTGTTTACTGCATGTTTTTGCGGAGTACAATGGTCACCTTCAAACGTCGTGGCCGTCACACAAAGGCTACACAAGGATGTCGTCAGCCTCATCTCATGAGATGGCGCCTGCCTTGTCAACTTTCCAACATAAAAATCGCATGCTCATCCTCAATAGCCGGGGCCACAAGCCAATTAAGTGATGACAGAACAATCTGGTGTCTAGGTATACACGACACCACACATATCTGAAGAGCCAATTATGTATTGAGTAGTGTTGCGTCCTCTGTCGATCCCTTTTATCCTCACAAGATGTCAAGCAGCAGTGGACGCGTCTCAGTCTGTAACTGTCAACAAACACCCACTTGTCTCAGTTAGTTGTTACACATAATATCACTACTGGTTACACTACGGAGTAGACATGGTGTCTATTAATATCTTCCCGGGGCAGTGTCATTGTTAGGGTACGATCCGATGTTTCAGTCAATCTTGCTCTTTTTCCAACAAAATGCTGTTTCATTATACTAATAGGTCGATGAACCGTTTTCTGCTTCTTGCCACTTCACCGATTTCCGCCTACCCGCCTCGTGATCATCTATTTGAACAAGTCCCCTCTTTATAACACGGTAGCTGGGATCACTGTGCTGGAGTGATACTGCCGCCCGTAGATGCGCACGATAACACTGCGTAATCGCCTAGCAAGGAGTCTCACTTATGGCTCAATACGAAGATGACATGTGTATTTAGTATCCCGTCGAAAGTGCATAATTACGTCTCCGCCTCCACAGCCGCCACAGGACCAGTAGTTACCTCCCTGGGCAACTAGCTTGGAGATGGTAGTAAACAGATCACAATCGGGAATATTATCCGACAATGGAAATATCGTCCGGGGGCCTATTCGACGTTATACAACGGCAAATGCCGCGTTGACCGTTGGACCCAGTCGACTCGTGACATGCTTCAGCAAGTTTATCAGCTATGTTGCCGCAAGATAATCCTCGGTGACCGAAAGCGACAAGGGTTTCGAGTTCTGCTAAGCGTTGATTTGACATTGCTGAGACCAGGCCAAGAAGGCAGACCGTAAGCATGGCCGGTGTAGTTGGCCTAGAGGTGTGGGAAGATGAGAGACGCATTCCGGCCGCCTTGGTGGTTGACCCTCTCGTTAGGCAATTATTGTGTGACAACGATAGGAAACCACCGAAATAAGTTTCGAAGAATCTCTCATAGCAAAAGACAGCTACGAAGTAATAGGAATAATTAGGATAAATAGAAGACTTATATTTTCGAGATACATCTGTGCTCAAACTAGTTCCTGCTTCTCTTATTTATCTCTCTACCTAATTTTTCACTGGTGGGCCTCGTGAGTCGTAATACCGAGGTCCCGGGCTACTCGGATAGGAGCGGATAGAAGCGCATAAAGAGTACCTCAAGCTCTGAATAAATAACTAGACAGTTGATGTACCAAAATTTAAATTAAATAAATTGCTACCAGACTCTCTGTAATTCCGCAGGGCGGATTGTAGGACTCGTTGTGTAGCTCCACTAACAGGGTAGCGGGGGTCCCCGCATGAGAAATGGCAGCTCAAGACGTAATCAAACTACATATGTAGCTATTCAACTACCTAGGGCTAATGTTGGTTGAATATAGCGGCTAGAATCACAGATGTGTCGTACATATGGATTTATGTGGTTACATCAATTGATGTTTGCTAAGTTCTAGGCTTGCTACAGTTATCGCCCGGATGGGCCTAGCGGGTGTTGCCTGCTAAAGTAGCCAGCCCTGGTAGAGACTAGCACACCACGTGGACGAGACCCCATTGGTCAAGTACCTCACGCTAGATGGGCCTGGTGGGGGATTCATGATTGACCCGTCTGGTCTGGTCTGGTTCGTCTCGAATACGCCCAGCAGTCTGCAGCTTGATCTATTCGATGCATCCCGAGATATCATGTCTATTCCTCCATCATCGGTCTCCACGACTGCATCGCGGACTCTCGGTCTGGCCGGCATTTCTGCCTGCCGTTCGGCCCGTTGCCTTCCTCGTGCCCCTTTATCTGATCGACTGTCTTCTATGCGCTTCCCATCACCAATATTCCGACACGGCAAACCCAGATTTATGGCATCATGAATGTCACCATCGCCTGCACTGCTACCTGTTGACGTTGCTGTTGACGAGGAGAAAGTCCCCAGCTACAGACCCGAGCACTACTATCCTGCCAATCCCGGGGATTTGTTGGCGGCCAGGTATCGGCTACTTGTCAAGGTTGGTTGGGGATCGTCGTCCACTGTCTGGCTGGCTGACGACACTCGCAGGTCAGTCCTTGCTGCTTTGTTCACCCCGCCGGCCCATACGCGCTGTAAGTTCTCATGAGCTAACAATATTATAGTGGCAACTGCTTAAGGCCTAAGAGATATGTGGCCGTGAAGCTCTGCAATTACGACACCAGCGACGAGGAAATGACAAACGAGTTGGACATGTCCATAATTTATCCTCCGCAAACCCTCGATATCCGGGCCGTGCTGCTCTAGCAACAGCGTTTAAGGGCTATATCATCGAGTCGCCACGGGGAGGCAAACACCTGGCCCTTTTATTTGAACCTATGAGAGAGCCACTAGCATGGCTCTTCAGAAGGCGCATTACTCATCAAGACCAAATTTCTTATGAATCACTGCCTCTAATAAAGACCTACATTAAAATCCTTCTTGACGGCCTGGATTATATGCACTCGCATTTCCACGTTATCCACACAGGTGAGCAGCCCGTAATTCTACGCATCATTTTACTGACGTACCTAGATTTGAAACTCGATAATATCATGGTCGCGTTTGAGGATGAGTCGACCGTCGCAGCATTTATCCAAGAGCAAGTATCCCATCCGATGGCATGTAAACACGTTGGCGATCGAGCGATTTACCAATGCCACAACGATTTTGGGCCTGTGATGAAGGGCCTAGGCAATATGATACCCCAGATGACTGATTTTGGCCTTGCACAACGCGGCGATAAACTCGAGCCGTTAATTCACCCAATACAACCCGACGAGTTCCGCGCACCAGAAGTTCTCCTTGGCACTGGCTGGTTCTACAGCGCTGATATATGGAACTTTGACGCTATGGTAAGTTCCCCCCTCCGCTGACGTCTACTCTTAGGCACTGTTATTCACTCTGGTAGATCTAGGAACTTTTGTCTGGTTGCTCTTTATTCCGCCAGCCAGGGACGGGCCCCTATTCGCCAGCCCAGCACGTTGCAGATATGATTGCTCTCATAGGCCCTCCCAACCCTGTGCTGAAGCGGCGCGAAAGAGATATGCACCATTGGCGATGGTCACCTGCAGCATTAAATCCACGGGGACAACTCTCTGGCACCGCTGCTGAGTTTTACGGCGGCCCATTCTTTGCTAGCGATGGTGCGTTCATTGTCGCCCGACTGGCCTGCTACTAACATGTGTACTTGAAATAGGTACATTTGTGCGGGTTGATTTGATACCAGCCAGGCGCAGTTTGGTGAACGAAGTGCCTCAATGCATTCTCGAAGAGAATCATGTTGACCTCTTTCTCGAGTTTATGAAGAAAATGCTTTGCTGGTTACCCGAAGAGCGTGCAACGGCCGGCGAGCTACTACTTGATCCTTGGTTGAATCTCAGCACAACATGATGGAGAATTATGGTGAGTTCTAATAGTGTGAGTAATCATTCACCAGCGGCTATTGAGGCAGATATTCCCCGCGCACTCTTGGCCATGTTTATCTCCACATGAATACCGACCTACCCTTGATCTCTTCCTCATATCAGCTATTAGCGCCAATTCGACATATCTGGTCAATTCAGGCTTGCCGAAAATTTATCCTCAATCCCTAACATGCGTACCATTCACCGTTGCAAAGGGCAATCCATAATCTATGCTCTTCAGACCATTGCCGAAGCTGCCACGCGGTACCATCCCAAGGGTGGTCACGTGATGAGGGTTCAGCCTCGCACACTCCCGGCTTGTCAGCCTTGTTGTTAGCTGAATCAAGACAGCTCAATGCAATTGTTATTACGTCAGCCTTGCCTCCCTTCACATTACACAAGCATTATCTTCATCATATCCCACGCGAGGCTAGTGTGGAACCCAGATGCTGTCGAGTGCCGATGGGAACTGGAATTGTGGACGTTGGCTTCATTCGCGCCTCATTTAGCTAACAAGACTTGCAAAAGCGCAAATGCCAAACTTGAGATTGTCTGGGGGTCTATAGCTGCACTGTTTTGTGTTGACGCTTGTTGGACCCGTGGCCCTAACGTGCGTGTTGGCTGTTACATGGCCAGTCGGTTGACAACGAAGAACAGAGAGCACCAATAATGAAAGAGGAAAAGAAGCGTTTCAATGTTGTCATAATGACTGGTCAACTCAGCTTGCCTCTTGGCAAAAGACGATTCGCTAACAAACACCGATGTGCATATCAGGCGCCGAGTGGCACCAGGTTTCCACTTGCCGGCATCACGGCCTTAGGAAATCAACAAACCACAATAGTCGAGTATAATGTGGGTTTCAGCTTGGAAATTCCGATTCTCCAACATGTCAGCCGTGGTGCTGTGGAACGAGAAAAGGGAAAGTTGATCCACACATCATGGACAATTCCCACATCGGCTGTGACCACAGGGTCACGCGACGTGTATTTGCTTTTCCCTTGCAATTGGGTATCAAAAAAGCAATAACCGGCTAGAAGCTCTATAAAAGAAGTCTTCACTCCTCGATAGATGGATTTTAACCAAAGCCCCATTCCGCCAATTTGTGATATTGGGTGTATTGATCCCGCAGACTGTAGGACCGCGTACGTCGTACCAAAATGCCCAAGTACACCAATATGGTATTCCAGGTGACCACATCTTATAGTGCAGCCAACTGATCCATCCAGTACAACATGTCCATCGACACCGACGATACGCACACCGATTTGAAGGACAATATGGTTTCCCCAAATGGAGACACTGGTATTGGCAATGTTGCCTTATATGACCTGGGAAGGATTAGGAGAAGCCTGGATGCCCTCGCTAGCAAACCCAAATGGGAACCTAGCGACACCGCAGACTTCGATTGCATGCACTATTTTGGCGATGGTGCCTTGGAAAAAGCATGCCAGACGTTGGGCATGCGGTCTGGACAAAGAGTCATCGATATTGGCTCCGGATTCAGTGCCACTGGCCGCTATCTCCACAAGAAGTGCGGCGTCGATGTCACGGGCGTTGAGCTACAAGCCGAAATTCATGAGCTTGCAGAGACAATCACCAAACGAAATGGACTGGCCGGAGGCGTACACTCAGTAAATGCCGACTTCACAAAACTCACAGTAGATGCCCCCGTAGACTACATTGTCTCGTTCCTATGCATACTACACATTCCCGACAGGGAGGCGTTGTTCCAAAAAGTGGCCAGCAGCCTAAAGCCCGGTGGGAAAGTCTACATTGAGGACTTTTTCGCCCGAACCACACTTAGTCAAAACGCCAGCGATCAACTACGCGACATTGTGTCCTGCTCTTACCTACCGAGCCGGGAGCAATATATTTCCCACCTGACCAATGCAGGGTTCCATGGCGTTCGATTTGAGGAAACGTCGGAAGATTGGGCCAAGTTTGTGCACGAACGAGCAGTGAGGAACCGGCATGAAGGGACAAGCGAGGCGCCACTTACGATATTCTACGACGCGGTTGATGCATTGTTTGCTAGCGGCCAGTTGGGCGGCGTACGTCTTACCGCCGTGAAAGGATAAAAGTTGGGAAGCAATGTGAAAGTACAGTCTATTAGACGACTCTACTTTTCACTTATATACTTATCTGTCACAGCCTCTAAGAAATCACTTTTTTTCCATTGTAAAAAATTTATCACTTGAGCGTGCCTGTATATTGGTTCCAATCATTCTGGTATGCCTTTGTTCTGATTGCTCAAAAGGCGACTTGGATCTGAGCTCTCTACACAGAATATCTATACCGCATGTACGACAACACTTGCAACTGGTTATAACGAGGCCTTGAACGAGATCTTTCCCCCGTCGAAGGACGAACGTCTACTATATAACGTTTTGCATCGCCGGCTTTGGCCACAGGTTGTGTTGGCATGCTTTGGAGAACCACGGCCATTTTGCCTGACTCGGGCCTGACGTCAATATCAAGCACTATTAAGGACGAGAGTACGCTGAGGAGAAACGACATAAAAGTAGGCACGCACCCTTTCAAAGGCGCAACGCCATTGCGCCCTGGCAACGACGGCGTTGATGGAAAAAGGAACTCTCCACCCGGTAAGGCGGAACCTTGTTATCATTGATGCGCAGGATTACAAAAGTAGTAATGAATGCAGCCAAACTAGTGACGAAAGACATTCACGTTGCTGTCATGTCGGAAGCCGGGCGACGTTTCAAGGTTTTGGTAGCATGAGCAAGATAGCTTTCGCTGACTCTTCGGCGCTGCGGGTTTCGCCGGTTTGCGACGTCCAGTAGAGGCATGTATTTAGTAGCATGATTTCCGTCTCGCATTTCATAGGCGCCATGGACTTCTTCTTGCGGATATATTGCCATGTGTCAGAAAGACGCAAGATGTGTATACTTGTAAGCTGGCCTAGTAGTCCCTACCCTGACACCATCCTTCATTTCGACGTGATAATCTGTTAACGGAATATAAGGGGTTATAATTGCTATTCGATTAGAGCGCGTTCTGTTTCGTGATATAATCTATCCACTTTTGCCGCGCATTATGCGTCCTCTCACATATAGGGCTCAGAATGTGTCCTTTTCTTCTCCCGCTCGACCGTGATATGTTGACGCCGACTGTGGCGTGTCAAGATCAAGTTGCTCATTCAAGGCAGCAGTAGCATTTCAACAAGTGTACACATCGGGTTTTCGCATGATTCTACTATCTCCTTTTCAGGAATTCAGTAACCTGTACGATAGCGCTTACATGAGGGACATTTGGCTTGGATGCTTTTTGGGAGACATTTATATTGCGGCTAAGAACTTAATGAGAATTAGATTACCAGGCAGCTAACGGTGCGTTGGAGAAATTCAATCACCCCTTTGTAGCGTATTAGAAAATCGCTTTATTATCGGTCGAAGACGAATGAAGCGTACCCCACGAGGGCTCGTGCTATCCCATGAATCATGATAATGAATCTATATCTCCACGCTGCCCTAGTTATTCGAAAATGGCCCCGTTGCTGGTGAGAGGGAGTCCCGAAATGTCAATGCCAGCCGTAGGCCTTGACCTTTTGTGGCTTGTATATTGATAGCTTGGATTAGTAACTCTTAGCTATAGGTGCGCTGCCTAATATTCTTTCGTATAATAACTAGGCTGAAAAATGGAGCTAAGCTTATCATGATACCTAATCTATAGTTATTTCCTCGGGATCTGGCATTATGCAGTCTCCTTCAAGGCTTCGTCGTGGCAAAAGCATGTGGCAGCCACGACAGCGGCTTGGACGTGTTTGCTTGTTTCCATCGTGAACCAACAACCTGTCCACCGCTGTTTTCTTCACAGAGTGGATATCTTGGCGCATCACATGCCTGCTGTATTCTCCTGCCGGCGTTGGTTTGCCGAAATCAACTGGACATCTTCTTCTAAAACAAGGCCACTGGCTCGTCACGGCTACTTACAAACTGCACATAAACCCTCCATTTTAGACCGCAGATACCAGGAGGGACCGCAGGCTCGGAATGGTAAGCTAAAAGTACTCCCTAGGACGTGGGTTACACTTGGAGTTGCCTAGCAATCACCAGGAACCCACATGCAACATGGGCAGTACTGAAGTCTCTGCCCACCTACAAACGATCCGGAGCAGGTTTGCCGAAATACAAGCTTACAACCCACTAGAAGACAAGTTTCCGCCGAATCTACCCGCAGTGGATGGGCCAATGATTGCAAAACTCATCACGTCTTCCATCTCATATTACGTGAGGTCAAGCGGCAGCCTCATCAAGAAGAACTTGGCGTGTACGTCTATGGCAATCCTTGCGTGAATCCTTACATTGGAGAGTGCCTCTGAAACGAGGCTGCCGCCCTTGACTTCATTACTACACGCACAAAAATCCCCGTTCCCAAGTTCCTTCAAGTACGGGAGCAAAACGGACTGGTGTATCTGAAGACGGCCTTGGTAGCGGATGGTGTAGGGTTTGACGAAATTGTCGAGACGGACCTGCCTGAGGCCCTGGGGGTTTTCTAACCAGCTTGAGCGACATGTCATCCCGCAACTACAAATTATCCCTTCTAGACCTCGCGTGGGAAGCCCAGACACTGCGTTGCCGGTCATTCCGCCGCGATGGCTGTGGGATTGGAAGGAGAATAGAGCGTGGCCGTCTCAACGAGGGGACACTGTTGATTACAAATTCTGTCACACAGAGCTGCATCGACAAAATATTCTAGTGCACCCCAAGACCTTGCAAATCATCTGTATTATTGACTGGGAGATGACCGGTTCTTTCCCAGTCGATTGGGAGCTTCCCTTCTGGACCGTCAATGGCCCTGAGGAAAGGTTCAAATTAGCTCAGGCGGCAAAACGAAAGAAGAACAATATCTTCTAGATTCAAAGCTACATGAATTAGATCAGTAATAAGTGAAAAACGAAGCTGTATCTAAATTGAGGCCTCGAGCTGACGTTATCGAAGCACCCATGGTCGGTCCGGCGGGGAGCTGAGGATCATTTGTGGCGGAGGCCGCTTCGGGGGGGCCAGGTATCCCGCCTCCTTTTTTTGCTCTTATTTTAGGTCCTGTGTTGGTTGTTTCTATATTAATATCCAGTCTTCAGCTGGTTCTGTTATTGGCAGGACAGCGGCCGTGCCACGGACAGAGTACATGCATGTCTCCTATCATGCCGCTCATTTGGTGTGGCAACAAGGCACACAGAAGCCAAGAGACGGCCATATTACGGATTGCAAGTTTCATCATGGCATTTCACTGGTTGACGTGGCGTCCGGCGGTCAATGCGATACAACCATTGCTTTCTTTGTCTGTTGCCTGAGCTCTCAAGCCGGTCGTTGATCGTGTCGTCAACTGGCTCAGAGGCGGTGTGGTAGCCCATGATGCTGTTGGTTCTGTTAGTAACCCCTTTACTTAGGCAGGTCGCAAGCAGCAGAGAATGTCGCAAAACTTCGGGTGACCAAGCTGCTACTCTACAGCCTACGAGCCAAGGCAGTAATTTGTCTCTCTATCACAATAATTGACGTTATTGACCTGTTTTACCGGAGGCTAGGCTGCTCTGTGCGTATGGCCCAACCTAGAACCTGCCTGCGGCCTGTGAGCTGAATTGCTATGCTTTATTGGAAGACCATGCGCAGCATTACGTACTCTTTGGCTAAAAGTCATTTAAGCCAGGAAATTTCTAATGAACCGACCCTACTCGTTCAAGTTAGCAGTTCCCAGTAGCATATTTGCTGGCTATTAGAGGTGCCCATTTCAAAAGAGGGTTCAGGCTGCTTTTTCCCCCTTCCTTTTGCTAATCTTTCATTTTGCGTCGGGTGCTTGACTATTTGACTTGTCGAGTCCGAGGCAAAAAGCCAGGAGCTGCCTTGAGAGCCATCGTTTACGAAAGACTTCCCTCCCTTAATCCAACTCCACAGCTGGGGATGGTCAAGTTCCCATCGTCGGAAGCGTTGAAAGCATCATGCTTGGGGTTTCAAATTGTTGCCTTGACCTTTGCGCCCCGTTGTCAAAGGATGCGGGATTTATACTCAGAATGCCGTTGTCGATGATGGCTACCTGTCCGTCGGACTTCGCAGTCCCTAGCCCCCCAACGACTGTCGACATAGTCACGATAGTTAGAAATAAATCGTGATAGCTTTGGAAATGTTTCTTGGGCTCTGAGTTACAGTAAGTAAAGTGAAGAAACTACGATTGTTTTATAGGTCTCGCGAAATATTTCTTCCAAGTTTGTTGCTAGGTTTCCCCTTGGTTTCCATGGTAGAGGAAGGGCCTTTTTTCTTTGGTTTGCTTGACAACTTGGTCCTCATTTCTTTTAAAAGGTCCTGACACACGAGCATAGTACGTCTTTTTCATCATTTCATAAACGTGCGCCTTGTATTAGTTTCGCTTTCATCTCCTATAGCGTGCTAAGGTCGGTAAGCCGCACTTGAACAAGAAATATTTGAACCCGAAAGCCAGGTAAACGGGAGAGTACTGTGAGCACATGGCGATATGTCGGACTGTTCAAATTTGCTTGGGAACAATACAGCGCTATTTGCATGCGTCACGCACATTTGGACACAACGATGTTTCCAACCCACCCCAGCCTGCCTGATTGTTGCGTCCCCCAGTCATCTTGTTTCCCACCCCAGAACCCAGCTCTGTCGGTCTTCCCGCACCATGCATGAGATCAACAGTTGGTGCATTTTGCAGAACACGGCTGCCGCCGGACATAACCACGGCGCACAGCGATTCTAAACCGTATTTGCTTAGCCGATGGGCAGTCAGTACCTATTACCACTCGCGTAAAAATACAGGGTTTGATTCTTGTCTACACTTGTGACTGAATACCGACAAAGACGAGTCAAAAATCTCCAGTCGAGAATCTCAACTCTGAGGTAATGACTATATTCAGCTACCATGAGTTTGTTGCGCGGGTTGAGTAATCTATCGGGGACTTTCAGTTCTAGTATCGATTTCACCTTGACATTTGTAACCGTTCAAGTGTGTCAAAAACCTCCATGTGACGAGATATATACGCGTATGGTTCCCTGTAGTGCACCTGTCAACGAAATATAAAGGGTATAATGGCTGTTTAATTAAAGCGTGTTCTTTTTTGTGACAGCAGCTATTATTAGTTTAAAGTCGTCTCGATGGCATCACCGACGTCTTGTTCATCGATTTATATCCGTCATCTGAACGACACGAGGATTCTGAGATGGTGGGTGAGCTCCGCAGCTGAACCAGCACAAGTTTCATCACACGAGAGCATTGGGCATCAGGACCTTTGTGTCGCCCGAGCTGCCGCTTCAATAAGCCGGCTAAAGGCAACAAAGGCAGAATTTGCCCGACCTTTCAGAGCCTCCATCCAGGTCCCCGTTCCTCTCACACGTAGTTTCACGGTCTAACAAAGGATCCCCAGCCAAGAAAAGGGCGCGGCTGGATGTGCCTGTTATCCTTTTCGTCTTTTGCATCATCGAAAACTCGTCTACGCCAACCGTTTTGTTGTCTCGTGAACGATATCGTACTAGAAATGACAGAAAGATCCAATTCCGTGCCGGTAGCCTTAGCCCGACTAAAGGCAGTGATGCTCTCGGTTGCTGTAAAACGGCCCCAATTCCGGACCCGGAAGAAATCAGAAGCTGGGAATGAATCCACCACGTCGCCCCAGAGGCATGTCCCTGTAACAGACCCTCCAGTTCCTCTGGAGCAAACATCCTGCGGTAAGTAAGAAGGTGGAAAGAAGCAATTCATGATGCGCTGACCCAGAAAGAACATCAAAACGAGACAGTTCGTGGAATCTCCACCAAGGGAAAAGCTCAGAGTCCGGTTCCAGATATTGAACTGGCCACTGCGGAAGCTCATGTTGCCACAGTCCCTGAGGACGGCACTGAGAATCGCAGAAGTCTGTCCAGAGAATATTCTCATCTCTTGGAACCGGGCGCGAGACTTTGGTATGAAGCCTATACTAGTCTCAAAGTTGCTGAACCCCAATTACTCTCTGTCTACGAGGGGATTCTTCACAAGTACCAGACGCCGAATTCTCAAGAAAGTCCGGTAGCGAACCTTCCAGATCCTGTCAAAGCCATTGATGAGGTATTGGAAGACGAGAGTAAGCTACTCTGGGTCAAGCAGATGACGATTCTAGAGACCTGGATGGCCGAAACGGACGATCCTCATACCTACGAAGAAGGATCACCCCACGCGCAGCAGTTGATGGCCTTATTTAAAGATATTGTTCGGCCATCTGCCATTAGCATGAAGCAGGCTGCATGGCCGTGGGTGGCTGCATGCCTTGCCGCAAAGGTACACAAAATCTCGAAGATTCTTCATTCCGCAAGAGGCCATTACAATTAACTGTTATACAGACCCTATTTACTTATGGTACACTATCCGGACCAGTTGCTCTTGGCTTCATTGAACTCGTCTCAAAAATTAATTTCTTTGGGAGGCTATCGCGTTTTTCACCATGCGAGGCTGACGCTGGCGAGATGGTACACACCTTGAAAAAAACCACAATTGGCCACAACTGTACGAGAGATGCATTAGTATCCCTTTATGCGGCGGTTTTGCTTTACTTTGTCCGTATTGCATGTTCGCGTACGGGCAAGGGCATGATTATCGAACCTGGAGTTATGGACCAGCTTTCCGGCCGCATTCAACTAATAGAGGGCACGTTTATAGCTAGTTTCGACAACAAGATTGGAGACACGCTCCGAGATTTGTTTTCCCAGGCCGAACGTCCCAAGAAGCGACCAAGCTCGTATACTGGAAAAGAGAATGGCGACAGAGAAACGTCCTCTAACCTTGCTTTGCACTTCGAGGAATCAGCAGAGATCCTGCAGAAGGCATGCCACACTGAAGAGCCACCGGAAGATTTGCTTGACTGGATTTGCTCGACAAAGGAATACAGTGAGTTTCGCAGGAAGGACACAGACGCAAGCCGGGTCCTTTGTGTCACTGGTTCACCAGGTGCTGGCAAGTCAATGGTTCTTCTGGGAATTGCCCAACACATGATGGGGCTGCAGGATCGTAGCAGCGGCTGCGAAAAAGTTGCGTGTTTTTTTGGCGACAGATCCGGTCTTGTTTCAGAAAACCCAGCAGCGATTGTGCACAGTCTCATCCGACAAATAATTAAACACAAAAGTTCTCTTCTCCACCACCTTGACAAAGCGTACGAGGCAACTAGAAGGCATTCCCTCGACCGTACAGCAGACGAATTCATGGTTTTCGGGGTTCTGCTCCGGATTTTGGAGGACCCGGAAGTTCCAGAAACTTGTTTCATTGTCGATGCGATTGACCAGTGCGGTGTTGACGAAGACGATGTTGACACAGAACAGTGGTTAGACAGTTTCCTGAGGTTGGTTTCCGCGACCATAAAGCTGTCTCCAAAAGTCCGATGGGTGATTTCAATGTGTCCTGCCGTCGAAAAGCGGGTGTCTTTGGGCAAATCCCTTGTCCTCGAGCTTGACTCAAAAAACATTGCTACGATTCTTGAACAGAGTGTAGGCTCCAAAGTCGCCACCATAGCCAAAAACATTCACCTAAGCTGTGACAAAAAAGCACTCCTCCAACTCCAAGAATATCTCACCAAGCGGTGGCAGGGTAATCCTCTGTGGGTGAGGGTGGCGTGCAAAGTCATACAACACCATCCTTTTTTGTGGGATATTATGGATGTCCTGAAGGAACTACCAGACAATCTAGAAGGGTTGTATAACTATTCCATGACGACAATTAGCAAGCTTCGCCCAGAGTCTTTCGACTTTTGTAGGCAAATCCTTCAAATCACGGCCGCGGCATACCGGCCTCTATATCTCTGGGAACTGCAAGCCATGGCAGAACTACCCGCTCTCGTGGATGTCAAGTTCATCATTGCCAAAGGGTGTTTTGCATTCCTAGAGGTATATGATGATAGAGTAATGTTTGTCCACTCCTCGGCCAGGAATTACCTCCGGAAGACCTTGCTTCAGGAGTCAAAGGCGCGTGGAGAATTTGTGCTGCGGTGCTTCCAATTTCTCCCGGAACATTGCAGAACGGCTGTAGCCGAAGAGTCTCAAACGGAGCAGAAGGCAGATATCCCCGTTCGGTTGCACTACGCTGAATGGTATTGGATGAGACATATCTCTGCATTGATCAGTCGAGATGCCAACCATGTGCCGTGGGGACAGCTTGCCACCTTTCTCGAAGAGAGCCTCCTAGTGTGGATGGAGAGATTGGTACTGGCTCAGGGTCTGGCGGTGGCCCTTACTCAGATGACTGATCTTGTACTTGTCCTCAGGGTAAGCATCATTCGATTTCGTTCTGCCTGATTTCTTGGAAGGTTGCGAGGACTTGTCCCGCGCGCCGAATCACAACTTGAGTATTCCTTCTAATTTTCGAAACCACAGAAATATCTGGACCGTGGCGCCGGCACCCAAAGTCCGCAAGCCAATTCTTGTCTGTCACTTGTCCACCGTGCAACACTTTTTCTCCGATTCCACCAATCCACAAACAGTCCCGAGGGAGTACCTGCTACCAATAGCCTGGTCTTCTATCCCACGCAGCCTTATTCCATCGAGAAAATGCTCGGCGGTAAGGCACCATGGCTAGCTTCCTCACCAGTAGGTCGAGTCATGGGGCCCGTCTGCCTGGTTCTTAAAGGCCACCGAGACTGGGTCCGGTCAAGCGCCTATTCTCGAGATGGCCGACTCGTAGCCACCTGCTCCGATGACAAAACAGTTCGCATCTGGGACGCCCATACTGGTGAGCTCCAAGTCCTCCTCGACGGCTTCGATGAATGGGCACACCTGGTCACATTTTCCCCCAGCGGCCTCCTGGCAACTGCAGGAGAATCAGTCATTGAAATCTGGGATTACAGGCTATCTGTTTTGGAGAAAACTTTCAAGAAACGTGATCTGCTCCCTGGAGAGGAATCTGAAATCAGCCATCTTAAATTTTCCCCCAAAGGCGACCAACTGGCCGCAGCCATTGGGAAGACTGTTTTCATCTGGGACACTCGGACTTATGAAGCGGAGAAATGGGAGCGCCAGGAATGTATAGAGCAGTTGACATTCTCCGCAGATGGGCGCTTACTCGCAATAGCCACACTGTTTGATATTACTATCCTGCTAGTAGAAGACGGCACAAGTAAATGGTCTAGGCTTCTGGAGAACAACACGGAGAAGATCAATGGAATCTGTTTCTCTCCAGACTCCAAGTCTATGGCATCCTGCTCAACCGACGGCACTGTCAAAGTATGGGACATTACTTCCGATGCCCCAGCGCATACCATTCGCTGTGGGCCGGTATCAGAGTACGCCTCTATTGATTTTTCGGCTCACGGCTTGCGTTTTGCTGCTGCTGCTGACAAGGGCAAGGGCACTAATTCGATCGAGTTCTGGAACATCCAAGGAACGGGGTACGATGCACCGCACCAGATTACGTCTTGCCTGGCACCGAGTGTCTTTTCGCTGTCTTATTCGCCCACAGAACAGGAGCTGGTGTCGTCTTACGCGGGTAAAGTTGCTCATATTTGGAACCTGGAGAATGCGTCGTCACCGGTCCTGGATGTCTCCGATATAGCCGGTGATGTGATGCCACGTGTCCAGCACAAGAAGAATGTTTCCTTCGTAACGATTTCTGTCAGTGGTAAACTCATAGCTTCTGCTTCCGAGGATGCGATACACATTTGGAATGGGTGCACTGGCAGGCACGAGAAACCCTTGGACATTGGTGAAGAACACAACTCCATCATATGGCTTGCCTTCTCAGCTGATGAATCAATGCTGGTTGCAACTTCCGAAGAAGGGGGTATCCTGGTTTGGGATCTCGAGGCCTCGACACAACCACGTTGGTGTCATGCCCATGAAGACTGGGTCCGGTCTGCCGTCTTCTCGCCTGACGGCAAGCTCCTGGCATCAGTATCGGATGACAAGCACGTTAAGGTGTGGAATCTTTTCTCAGACCCCCAAAAATGCCTGGAAAAACAAAAACCCTCAATATTCAAAAGTCACACTGGCTTCGTTATCTGCATTGCTTTCTCAGCTGACGGAAAATACATCGCGTCCGGCGGCGATGATGGCGTTCGAATCTGGGACTTGACATCAGTGGCTCACCAGGACGGTGAAGGTAACACAGAGCTGTCTCGATTTCAAGGCCATTGTGGCCGAGTGACCGCAGTCGCGTTCTCTCCAGATGGAGAGGTCCTTGTGTCGTCCTCGTGGGACGATGTAGTAAAGATCTGGAGAAGGAGTACGGGTCAAATTCTGCATAAAATACGCTGCTGCGAGCTCCAGTCATTAAGAATGACCGTGGATATATCCACATATATTCACACCGATATAGGTGTTTTCGAGGTTGACGACTTCCCCAAAAATAGAATAATCTCGTCAGAAACGAGGGAAGTACTGTCGTTGCCATGCTGGCCCTCTTGGAGCTTAAGCTTCAAGCGAAAGTGGATCCAGTGGAAAGATAAAAATCGCATCTTTGTTCCAAGAAAGTACCGTACCGCTGAAGGGAATAAGATATGGATCCAGGGTTGTACAGCAGTAATAGGTTGTACTTCGGGTGAGGTTCTAATACTAAAGCTAAGTAAGGATGGAGATCTATAATCGTTACGTCCCGAAATTAGATATTCGAGCTGTATGTAGATGAATACTCTTTGTATCTCTGCGGAAATCTATCGCTGAAATCTTCCCTCCGCCAGCCTAGAGATTTAGTTTGGCGAGGTCTTCCTTCGTCATCTCTCGAGAGCCCAGATTTAAGGAAGGAACACGCACATTGGACGAACTTGCAGGAATATGGATTTCCGCCCGGTTAATGAACGAGGAAAATATGAAAGTAACGGTGTAAAGAGCTTTTTCATCATCGATAAGCTCGTGCTGGCATCCTAACTGCGGCGGATACGGGGGGCCGCAGGTCCCTCGTTTTCCCCCCAAATCTCTAACCAAGTTCCCACTCGGTATCCTCATTTTTCCTTCGAAGGATCAAAGCTCAAGGAGGTATTCGTCAAATAGGTTCTCTTCAACACGCTCAACAAGATATCTTAGTTTGTCTTTAGCAGTTTGGACCTCCTTGTTCTGCGAGGCTTCTGTGGCGCAATCCTCTACATGCTTATGGCAAGACTGCCCCCGCTGCCAGTTTGAATCCCGCGAACAAACCCTGTCTATCCTGTTTTCTAATTTTTGTTCGTTTTCCTTGGCTTGCTAAAGATAGGCATGATTGCTTAGTAATTGAGTGCGTTCTCTTTGTCGACATGTATGAAGTACTGTAAATATAAAAGGGTGCTCGAGTGGTTACTTATAGCCTTCTGTTGAGTCTTGTAAAGCTTAGCATAATTAGCAGAATCATGATTAGGACTAGAACTAGAGGCCCCGAGTTTTCGTTAATAAAGAGGATATAATCGCTAACCTTGGCATATAACTCTCCACCATTATGGCCGGTCGATCCGAGACTAACAAACAGTCTTCTGTTGCGGGATATCCGATCGAGTCCTGGCAGGGAGCTAGTGCATGATTCATAAGTCTGGTAGCAACATTGGTCCCGAGGCCACCCATGGTACCATAACACTATACAATAACGAATGTAAATGCCACGACCTGGATCGAACGGTGTGGAATATTCTAGTGCGTGTAGGCTGAATCTATCTCGTCCAAGTTGCTACACAAACCATATGATCGCGACCCAAAGCTCGTGGTAATACATATATATTCATAGCCCTATGCATAACTATACATGCATACATGAATTCATACGTACATAAATAACTACATATAAATATAAATAGAAGTCTTATGCATACACGCTTATGAGTTTATATGAATAGTATCACGTGAAACCGGAAATCTCCAACTCTACGATTTTTGGGAATCCGTTTAACTATGCATACTTATGTGTTAAGGACTTCGTCGTTGATTTGAACTCAACTAATGACGCCGTAACGCTATCAAATTACGCCTCACATCTAGCCCCTAGGCGTACAAGTATGTAACCGGCTAGCCAACTCTCTTGCAGAGCTGCCAGTTCTTCCTCTCTTCAATGCAATCAATTTTTTGGTTTCTAACACGCCTGCGACTGAAAGGGCCCGTGCCCTTACAATGGATATCTCTCATGGAAGCGTATTTTCCCTCATGTTAGTGACACTTCAACTGTGACAAGGGCTCGTTAGAGGGCTTGAAGCAAACGGGCTTAATTCAATGATAATCTTGTAGGATGTCAAAGGTCCTTGGTTTCCCCCAAGCTACGAGTCGAGGGGGGACCATCTTATATACATGAAAGGAACGGCCCGTGCCTAGTGTGCCCCATAGTTCACGTGATCTCCTTGTGTAACAAAGGGCTTCTAATCCTTGCTTGACCTAATCCGTGTGACATCAACGCCGGCGTCCTCGCCTGAATTATCTCTTCATGAATCTCCCATCCCATCGACCGAACAGTCAAGTACTCCCAACACACTCTTGATTCTCCAGCGACGCCCCGCACCCTCCTCCTCTACAACCTCTCAGCCTCCAAGGAAAATGTGGCGAATTACAAGAGCGGAGAATACATGGTATGAATACCGCGACCCTTGTGACCAGAGCTCTTACGAATATAGTAAATACAAGTGTATTATGTATTGTATTTTGTATTATATTATATTTTTATGTATTGTATTTAAATACATTACATTACATTAGTAAAATACCTATAAATGTATTTTAAGGAAAAAAGACCCTTGTTTTTTTAACTTAAACTTATAAGGCTAATTATAAGGGTTATAAGGGAAAATTTTATATCATTAAAAAGAGCTAAATTAGCTCTTTAAAATGCCCTACTTATCACCATTATAAGTTACTACATTAAAAAGTTATAAGCAATTGAAAATTCGCCCCGCTTTACTTACTTTTTATTTTAAGACATAACTTTAAAGCTTAATATCTCGCTTAATATCCACATTTTAAGGTTAATTTTTAAAGATTTAAAATCACGTGATTTTTAGCTTTATTTTAATATATAATATGCTTATATAAGCATTTATTTATAATATTAGATATTTTTTAGCCTTATAATACATTTATAGGTATTCTTATCTTATAATGTATTGTAATATATTACATTATAATACAATATAATATAGTATAGTAAAAACTACAAAAAATACAATACATTTAGAGGTCTGCTTGTAACAAGGGCTTAAAAAAGGGCTTAAAGCAAATAGGCTCAATTCAATGATAATCTTATAGAATGTTAAAGGTTCTTAGTTTCCTTTAAGCTAAAAGGCGAGAGGAGACTATCTTATATACATGAAAGAAACGGCTTATACTTAGTATATCTAAGTTAGAGTATTAATAAAAAAACTATACTACATGTAGTTTTTTAGTATAGTTTTTAGTATAGTATAGTTTTAATAGTTTTAGTGTAGTTTAATTATACTATAATTATATTTAAACGGGAGAGTACTGTGAGCACATGGCGATATGTCGGACTGTTCAAATTTGCTTGGGAACAATACAGCGCTATTTGCATGCGTCACGCACATTTGGACACAACGATGTTTCCAACCCACCCCAGCCTGCCTGATTGTTGCGTCCCCCAGTCATCTTGTTTCCCACCCCAGAACCCAGCTCTGTCGGTCTTCCCGCACCATGCATGAGATCAACAGTTGGTGCATTTTGCAGAACACGGCTGCCGCCGGACATAACCACGGCGCACAG